TTTTCGCATGTTGCAGTAGCATCTTCACCCAAACACCTGGGGCGGAGCCTCATATAAAGTGGGTGCACAGTGAACATTTGCTGAATATGAGAAAATCTCCATCCTGAAACCACCAGAATACATTAATGGTAGAGCGATGACATTTATTTTCATTCACTTCGAATCTACTTGGATGAACACTAGTGTTATTTCTTTAGAATTAACTAGGACTTAAAAACAAAGGACCCAGATGGTCAGATATAATAATGAAAGGCATATAGAAATGTGTTTTGAATTCATGCCAACTTGGCAACAATATCTCAGCAGCTCCCTCAGTCTGAATTCTTTGCAGATTTTCTATGTTATCTCCCTAAATAGGCTGTGGCTGCTCCTTAAGAAAAAAAAAATGAAAAAGCAGTTCTCAAAATTTTCAACATCGTGTGGTCTGTGTGTCTCCGAGCGTATAGCCAATTTGATTTTTGAACACTTATTCAGTTAAGTCCAACCCAACTTTTTTTTCTATTAGCGTTTCCATTGATGTGCATATAAGTGATCTCATTCTATTTAAAGGTCACAATCTTCAAAAACCAATTCTAATGCTGCTACATGACAGCAGTAGAAAATAAAATACTTAAATTTGGAAATGTTCTACTGAATCACGAAATAAGGAAAATGTATATATTGATAACAGTATGCACTTACAGATATTTTAGACAACATAGAATTTAAAAGATATTTGGAAATCTTTTACTAACAAGAAAATAAGGAGACAAGGGTAATGAGAAAAAGCATTGCAGAATAATTAGCTCCATGAATTGGAAAACTGAAACAGCTCAATTTTGGCTTTAAAGAAGTTTGAGTTTTATAACACTGTAAATTGTATGTAATGACCGAAATGTAAGGCAGGGGAAATTTGCTTCCACCAACAGCGTAAAGAAGTTTGAAAGAGAAGTTTACATCAACAGTAAAACTTAAGTAATAAATGGGATGATGTCATCTCGTAGAAAACTTTCAAAACTGAGGAATTTATGATGATTCCAATAATAGACTTTTATTTTTTTAAAAGAAGATATTTGTTTATAAATAAATGCTCACATTTTATTTTATTAAAAAAATTTTTTTTTAATGTTTATTTATTTCTGAGACAGAGAGAGACAGACAGAACATGAGTGGGGGAGGGGCAGAGAGAGAGAGGGAGACACAGAATGGGAAGCAGGCTCCAGGCTCTGAGCTGTCAGCACAGAGCCCGACACAGGGCTTGAAGTCACAAACCGTGAGATCATAGCCTGAGCCCAAGTCGGTCGCTCAACTGACTGAGCCACCCAGGTGCCCCTAAATGCTCACATTTTAAAAGCAGTGATTTGTCACTGTTGCCTGATTCTGAACAATTATAGCAAAAGAGCTAAAACACAGAAACTGCAGGTTTGATTCGGGAAGATGTAGTGACTTTCCTGGCTTTCTGGACTAACAAAGAGGAGGGCAAATTAAGATAATAAAAATCCATTAAACCTCAAACCAGCACTTCCTTCTATTAGTTTATTATTTCATTTATTTTACATGCCACATACCCAAGAGCATCTTAAGTGCTTTATGCTGATTTATTATTACATTTAGATGACAATCCTAAATGGTTGATCATATATATATATATATATATATATATATATATATATATATATATGTATCACTTTATATGAAAAAAATTAAGGTTTAGAGTTGTCAGAATAAAACCAAGCTGCTTTTTGCTTACTGAGCACAGCAGAGCTGCAGCATTTAATTTGAGAATGTTTCCTGAGGACCAAGAAAGATGTACCAAGGAAGGATGCTATTCGTTTTGATTATTTTTCTGTATTTCATTATTAAATTACAGGTGCTAATTTCAAGGAGGGTCTACTTGGGTTATGTAAGGCTTTATAAAATACACCCACTTGAGATGTGGCAGATTTTTTCTTTAAACGAGCATATAGAGGCGCCTGAGTGGCTCAGTCAGTTAAGCGTCAAATGTCGGCTCAGGTCATGATCTTACGGTTTGTGGGTTCCAGCTCCGCACTGGGCTTTGTGCTGACAGCTCAGAGCCTGGAGCCTGCTTCAGATTCTGTGTCTCCCTCTCTCTCTGCCCCTCCCCTACTCATGTCCTATCTCTCTCTCTCTCTCAAAAATAAACATTAAAAGATAATAAAAATAAATAAAAATAAATAAATAAAAGAGCAGATAAACTCCTTGCCCCAGAACCCTCAAATAGCAAGTAGAGATATTGGAATATGACACAAAATTATTTTATTCCAAAGTTCTTCTTTTGTTTTTCTTGGTTGGTTGGTATTGTTTTCCTCTGTTATCATGTTAAACTCTTGCCTTGCAATAGTTAGGTTTTAAAATGTATTCATGTACCAAAAGAAGATCCAGAGAATAAATGTCGATGATTCTAGTCCTTTGTTCATGTTTTGTTACTAGCTTTCTAAAACAAATATCCAAAAAGGATATTCAAATGCATACAAAAACATTTAAGGTAATATGGTTTTGAGGCTTATTCTTCAAAGACTATTTGAAATTGCTAATAGACCAAAAAGTAGGTATTATGTTATTCTTATCTAGAGATGGAAAAACTGAGGCATTGAGAGATTAGTAAATCGCCCACCTTGACACAGCTAGAAAGTGTTGAGTCTGAGAGCAGATCCAAAGTCTCAGTTTAAAACTATGCTGTTGTCTTCTGTTATATTGGCAAACACAATGCTGACTACTTAAGGCTTAGGACACAGAAGCAAGAGTGAATATAAATAACCATGCTCCCGGCCACAGTGCCTATGAATATGTTATTTTTTTTTACACAAAGTTCCTATATTTTTGTAATAAAATTAACTCCTAATGTCCCATGGGGCTTCACACATTTGAGGATTGTCTATTGATACTGTTCACTCATCCAGTTGAATGGGGATTGAATCTCTGACAATAGGCCATGCCTAAGGAACCCTGTTAGTAAGAGTAGGTGTCTCTGCTCAAGAAAACTAATTTTGATACAGTGGCCTGGCTGTGAGCCTTATCACTGTATTTGGAAACTTTGGTTTCGCTCATGGTAGCAAACTGCTTTTTGGAAGTAACGCTACCTGAGACTATTCTTTATATTTTTATATTATTCATGGATTTTCATTACGTGGTTCACTTACTAGTAGAATGTGTAATATTTTGCAGTGGTGGTTATCTATTAAATATAGAAGAAAGTGAAGTCTCCTTTTTTATTAAAAAAATTTATTAAATGTTTATTTAATTTTGAGAGACAGAGAGAGCATGAATGGGGGAGGGGCAGAGAGAGAGGAGGGCACAGAATCCAAAGCAGCCTTCAGGCTCTGAGCTGTCATGCTCTGAGCTGATGTCAGACGCTTAACCGACTGAGCCATCCAGGTACCCCATGGAAGAAAGTGAAGTCTTTTTACTACCTCCCGTGTAAATGTCTGAAGTGCTCTTTATGAATAAGCACAGGAAGATTGAACTAACTAAAAATATCAGATTAAGGTGTATGCAGAGTTTTGCAACCATTAATAAACAACATGACATTTTTGTTTTGTTTCTATTGGCTTGAAATTATATTAGCTACAGAAACATACTTAGTACATATTCTTAATTGGCACATGATCTAATCTTTAAAAATGCCCTTTCTGTAATGATATCCCTGTATGTCATATTCCATTTTAGGTTTATTCAAAATAATGTTATAATAAAATTGGTCATTCTGTACCATCTTATCCCAATATAATTACACAGAACAAATACTTTTTCTATCCAAAATAGTAGTTTAAGGAATTAATTTATTCTCATCTGCCAGAAGTTTGACCAAAATTAAGAGCATTTATCAGCCAAATTTAATTTTTGCCCTATTTTTAGTTTCATCTCAATTACATTGAACTGGATAAGAAAAAATAGTGCCCTTCAGGGGCTTCTTCTGAGGACCATTGACCTTGCTCTCTTGATCTGGACAGATGTGGCTTAATTCCAGCTACTTCTCAGTAGCTTCTCAGTCCCTTCAAATCAACTACTGGCCTCTTCCATGTGGTCTACATTCATTTCCCAGGATATATTTGTGCCTTATTGTCCCTCCAGTCATGAGGGCGTTGGCCAAACCCAATATAGTGCCATTGACTTGCCTTTGCCCTAAAGCACCTGCACTCTTGTCCTCAGTTTTCAGACAAGAGTAAGATCCTGCCTGAATCTGTCCAGTCCACTGTCCTCATCTGTGTGGAGAAAGCAAGCTATCCAGGTGGCTCCTGGGAAATCCTCTCCTTAACTCAAGGATAGAAGGTGGTTCCCACCACTATTTCCCCAAGTCGATTGTCAATGTATCAATGGTTCTCTCCTAAGAAATAACTGTGTTTTCGTTTTGTTTTGTTTTTTTTATAGACCTGCAGTGAGTATAGTTGGGCAAAGTTCTTGAAATAGGTTTCTTTGAAAGTTTGCATAGGAACTTTTAGAATTTCACTTTGGAATTTCATATCACTTGATTTTTTGGTGCTAGGGTGAAATTTATAATTAACCTCTTTTTCCATTTGTCAAAAGCAAGACTCACCATTAGAGGCAGGGAAATGAGACAAGAGAAATTCCTTTATTTCACAGTATTCATACTGTGTTCATGACTGAATTGGCCTGTTCATGTCAGTTGCCTGATTTAATCATAACAACAACTCTGTAGGATTGGGAATATTATTCCCAATTTACAGAAAAGGAAACTAAGTTTCAAAGAGGAGATTTTTTAAGTGATAAGATACTCTGGAAATAGAAATGTGTGACTGGAAAGCTTCAGCCTTTCCTGCTGGAATCCAGCTCATCCACCACAGGTAAGATATATGCTTACCTAATCGCCACTGTTAGCCTAGGACGGCTGCAACTATTTCTCAAATAGTCCCCTTCCTTTGGTAGACATGGATATAAGAATGTTTGCGGTCATTTCTACTACTGTTGATTCTGAATACAGCACATAAAAAATCTTAACATTGGCTGTGTCTGAAAATATATGTTTCAATTTTTTTTTTCAGACAATAGATTTTGAAGGTTTCAAGCTATTTATGAAGACATTCCTGGAAGCAGAGCTTCCTGATGATTTCACGGCACACCTTTTCATGTCATTTAGCAACAAATTTCCTCATTCTAGTCCAATGGTAAAAAGTAAGCCAGCTCTCCTTTCAGGCGGTAAGTCTAATTATTTATTTAAGTATGTATACACAGTAGAAACCTCAAAGGGGAAATCAGTATCAAGTTCTCTATAAGAGAAGAGATTATTTGCTTAGGAAATATCTTTGTTGCAAGACTTATACTGTCATACTAAGACTGTGCAAAATATTTAAAGTATCTCTGATATAATAATAGCTAAACATTAAAGAAAATATACTTTTTCATTATCCATCACTTGTCATTCACAGTCTTAGAAGTCTGTGTTTAGGTAATAATTTTAAGAGATACTTCCATCACATATGGAAAAGTGCTCCTTTAAATGACTAGATAAATATAGATCACTTTATATATGAAAATGTAGTCACAAAGCCATCATGTGTAGGAAACATAATATTTTTATCACTTGTGTAAATTTCCAATATGCTATCAAGGAAGACAGTTTTGATTTTTCTCTTGGATACTTTTTTAAAATTTAATGTCACCATAGAGATGATTGGTTCTGTCATAATAGGTAGCTTTTCAGAGATGTCTCATGCATTAATACTTGTTGCTAATTGTGTCTAGCTCCATCCAGTCAGGAGAACAGAAGTCTCACTCTATTACTCTATAGAGTGTAGAAGAGGTGATTGGTTAAACAGTGTTGGAAGGTTGAAAAAGCAATGAGAAATACTGAGGTTATGCAGAGGCAGAACCACAGGAAGTGTGTTGGTTGGAGTAATCAAAACTCAGAAGCTTGGAGAAAGGACGTCTTGGAACTGGGACACAAGGTTCTGCGGGGAAGGTGTTGCCTGGCAGATCTCACCCTGGGACTTCTGTGAAGGGGCTACTTCCTTCTGAGTTTTATAGCTCAGGAACTCAAGAGGAACCTGCAGCTTGGCAGTCAGACATCAGAGGAGCATCTCCGAGGTCTGTGCAGGACTGTGTAGCCAGAGCTCCCTCTGCCTTTCTCAATGTGGATAAAAGCTAGTGACTAGAGCCTCTTCTGCCCAGAACCATGTGCTGTGAGGGTGAGATACCTGAGAGATCTAACAGGAAGTGAAGGTAGATGAGCAGGAACCAGCCCCTTCTCCTTTCTTTCTTGTCATGTCTCTCTAGTGCCCCCTGTTAACTTGATAGGAATCCAGCTCACAACAGAGAAACGTAGTATACAGCTGAGTTTCTCAAACTCTTTGGTCTCAGGACACTTTCAGGACCCCAAAGAGCTTGGATGATATCTATTGTAACCACATTAAAGATGAGACATTGTGAGAGTAACCATAATCAACCCATTACATGTTAACAAAAATAACATTTTTTTCCGAAAAGTAATTTCAAAAGCAAAACAAAAAAATTGTGAGTAGAGTGGCATTGTTTTATATCGTTGCAAATCTCTTTAACCTCTGGCTTCGTATCTGCTTCTGTGTTTCTTTCGCTGTATCCTATGTTATGCAACCTCATAAAAGATCTACTGTACAGTCATGAGAAAATTATAGTGAAAAAAGCAAATGTGATATCTCACAATTATCACTGATAATCATTTGACCTTACAGATTCCCTGAAAGGGCCCAGGGATCCCAAGGGAGCCCCTGCTCTAGCGACTTCAAGCCCTTACATCACTAAGTAGAATATCAAAATGTGAGTAAAGGGATAGATGTTTAATAACCCGCACTCCAATAAATAAAAAAAAAAACCTGGAACACGTAATTAAGAAATAGGTGGTTGAGCCATAACTAACACTTAGGCAGTGTGATGAAGAGTCCATGCTCCTTCCCCTTCTGTTAATGACATAATGTCTCTTCCTCAAGTGATTATATATATGTTGGTGCAAGATTTTTTTTTCTTATTTTTTAAATTTACATCCAAGTTAGTTAGCATATAGTGCAATAATGATTTCAGGAGTAGAATCCAATGATTCATCCCCTACATAAAACACCCAGTGCTGACCGCAGCAAGTGCCCATCTTAATGCCCCTCGCCCATTTAGCCCATGCCCCCACCCACAACCCCTCCAGCAACCCTCAGTTTGTTCTCTGTATTTAAGAGTCTTTTATGTTTTGTCCCCCTCCCTGTTTTTATACTATTTTTGCTTCCCTTCCGTTATGTTCATCTCTTTTGTATCTTGAATTTCACATATCATTGTAGTCATATGGTATTTGTCTTTCTTGACTAATTTCCCTTAGCATAATACACTCTAGTTCCATCCACTAAATGGAAATGGCAAGATTTCATTCTTTTTTTATTTTTTTTAACTTTTATTTATTTTTGAGAGACAGAGACAGAGACAGAGCACAAGCAGGGGTTGGGGGAGGGCAGAGAAAGAGACATGGAATCTGAAGGAGGCTCCAGGCTCTGAGCTATCAGCACAGAGCCCAACACGGGACTTGAACCCACAAACTGTGAGATCATGACATGAGCCAAAGTCGGTTGCTTAACTGACTGAGCCACCCGAACTTCTCAAGATTTCATTCTTTTTGATTGCCGAGTAATATTCTGTTGTGTATGTGTGTGTGTGTGTGTGTGTGTGTGTGTGTGCATGCCACATCTTCTTTACCCATTCATCAGTCGATGGACATTCGGGCTCTTTCCTTGCTTTGGCTATTGTCAATAACACTGCTGTAAACATTGGGATGCATGTGCCTCTTTGAAACAGCACACCTTTATCCCTTGGGTAAACACCTAGTAGAGCAATTGCTGCGTCGTAGGGTAGTTCTATTTTGAACTTTTTGAGGAACCTCCATACTGTTTCCCAGAGTGGCTGCACCAGCTTGCATTGCCACCAGCAGTGCAAAAGAGATCCTCTTTCTCTGCTTCCTCGCCAATGTCTGTTGTTGCCTGAGTTGTTAATGTTAGCCATTCTGACAGGTGTGAGGTGGTATCTCCTTGTGGTTTTGATTTGTATTTCCCTGATGATGAGTGATGTTGAGCATTTTTTCATGTGTCTGTCGGCCATCTGGATGTCTTCGTTGGAAAAGTGTCTTTTGCCCATTTCTTCACTGGATTATTTGTTTTTTGGGGTGTTGAGTTTGTTAAGTTCTTTATAGATTTGGATACTAAGTCTTTATCTGATGTGTTAGGTGTGGGCTTTTCTAAAAACAACTGTACACCTTCCATATGATATATTTTGATCCCTTCAAACTGTATACCAAAGAGTGCATTTATTATAATCTTTAATTACCCTTAAAATATTTTAGTTACTTAAATAATTCCCTTTATATCATGAATTGAAAGGACTCCCCCCGCTTGTTTTTCTCTGAGTCTTATTTTGTGTGTTCTCACAGTGTGCTATCAGAGCTTTCCAGTGTTTGGGACTGAACATTTTAAAATGGGACAGTTGCTTACTTTGATCGAGAAATTAAAACTCTGTTCTCCATTTCATGCTATAAATAGGTTGTACATACCATAGACCAAATAAAATAAAAATTGTCTTTTTAATTTCAGATGAAGCAATACTGTTCTTGAGTTTTGACAAAGAAGCAAGGGGAACATTTTTCAATCTGAGTAATTGTGTCAGACTTGGATGAAGGGGAGAGATTCTAATTAATTAGGCAGGCTTGTAACAAGTGAAAATCTCAAGCTCTCTTTTCTTCAAATAGCATGTAGTATTACACAGAAGATGCCAGATTTACAAGGAGTAGAAATCGAATCAGTTTCCAAAATGGAAAAAAAAGGGTAACAGCTTGTACTTCATTTGGGACAGCCACATAATCTGCACAGATCTACTTGAAAAGGAATTGCAAGATGGGCTGTGTAACTCTCATGTAGCAAAAAAATAAAACTGGAATTCCTTTTCAAAACTTGGTCTCCACATTTTAAAACATAAGTGCATGGTGTCCTTCATAGCCCTGTTTTTAACGCCATGTTCTTTGAAACTTACCACTGACAGTGAAAAATAAATGTATGTTTATTTTTAGAACCCTACTTTGCAATAATCTGTTATGTACACAAGATGTATTTGTGGCTGAAAAATCACAAATTAATATTGAATACAAGAGAGCTATAATCTGTTTTGTTTATCCCTTCTTAGAGTTCACCATATTGCATTACTACAATATCAACAGGAATATGATCACTATTCTTGACTCTGTATATAAACTAAACAACAATGGTTTCTCAATAAAAAGCAAGACTAAATTGGGAAAAATGTTAATGTTAATGAACAATATTCAAGTATCGGAGATATGGTGAATGTAAAACATTTAGTTTTTATAGAATAAAAATGTTTAAATGAGTATAAAGAGGCATAAAGGGGTGTGTGTGTGTGTGTGTGTGTGTGTGTGTGTGTGTGTGCGTGTGTAGTTATTTTTTGTTGAACTTGTAGTAGCTACTGATCCATCTGGTATTTTGTGTAGTGAATGATTTTTTTTGGGGGGGGAGTATATTTTGTTGCAGTATAAGTGCCTTTTGTCACCTTCTTAAAATGTAAGCTGATTATTTTTCCTGTTCCCAGGTTAGACTTTTAATTTTTGAAGATATTCCTAACACTATATATTTCCAGATTTCTCACTTCTTCTGCTTCACCATAAATGTCACGTCCCTAACTCCTCACCTCTTTGCTGGCCTAAGAGACTAACTTCTGATTTTACCTTCATCACTAGAGTCTATTACCTGAGCTATTCTCATTACAGGATTGTTAAGTCATGTGGAACCTTTGCTTTTTTGCAAGTGGCTCATATACCTTCCACCATGAATCAATATTATTATCTCATATTTCAGTCCGTACAACTCAAACAATAAGAATAACCCAAGAGAAATTTTATAAATATGCAGATTGTTGCCTACAAATTCTTACCGTTCAATATTAACGTGGCCTTAACACCTTTACACCTTTTTAAAAAATCTGTCTTAAAAAGTACTCATTTTTGATGCTGTCTCCTAGCTCAATTAGGTTAAAATTTTCAGACATCCTTTAGCTTATTCATTTCTTTCTCCTCATTCTCAATAGGTGATTTTTTTCACAGCGTACAAAATAACATAAAGTACCTCAATTATTCCCCATGCAACACAGAACTGTTTCTTCAGCTCTAAGAAAATATATATTAA